ACACACACACACACACACACACACAGATGGCTGGGACTGCTGCTTTTTGGTGAGGCAGGTGCCGTTAACTGGTCGTGAGGATTCCTTGGGCCTCAGAAGCCCCTTGGGGTGGTCATTCCCCACCCCCGCTCTAGAGGGTCGCTAGGAGTGGAAATGACCCGATGGCAGTGGGTTGGACTGGGCTAAGCCACCTGGTCAAAGAGTCTCGCTGCCTTCCAGAGCTGCTCCCACCCCTCCCCCTGCCCCGCCCCGGGAGCCCTGGGAATACAAAGCCAGGTGCTGTGCATGTTTGCCCATAGGGGCAGGTTAGACCCAGGGGCATGGAGCTAAGGGAGGGGAGGGTGCTTACCGCCTTGCCCACCTCTGGTCCTCTCTGGGACAGATCTTCAGGCAAAGCCAGGCTGAGGGGGCCTGCCCCCAGCCTGGGAGACTGGAACCCCACGGGACTGGGCAGGGGTCAAGCACGTAGATTTTGTGAAGCAGCGCCAGGTGACTGACTCCCAGCCAGGATGGAGAAGGGCTGCGTGGTGGCCCAGGCCGAGCGGACTTTTTCACAAGCCGGGTCCTCGAAGAAGTGGCCCTCGGGTGCCGGGCTTCCCATGCCCGGTCCTCTGCAGACAACGTGGAAGCCGCCTCACACTGGGTGTTTGTGCTTTATCCCTCCAGACATTTCTGCCTTCCCGCCGGCAGCCCCACCTCCCGAGGCAGCAGACAGCACCCGGTAGGTGCCCCTCCCGTGTCCCCTGCTCTTCCGTGGGACCTGGCATGGCTGCACCCGACCCTGGCCTCCCATGTTCCAGTCCCCTGGTGCAGGGTTCCTGAAGTGACGCGTGAGCTCAGGCCGGAAGATGGCAGTGCCCCTCTAACCCATCCGACTAGAACAGCACCCCTTTACTGAGGCTCTTCTCCATGATTCCCACCCCCTCTCAGAGTCCTCAGTCCGGTGAGGCAGATATTGGGCGCCGGCCTCATCTTCCGGGCACAGACTAGGAAGCGGCTGAGAGCGGTTAAGCAACTGCCCGGGGCCTCACAGTTAGGAACAAAGTCATTTCTGTCAGATCCATCCCCTGGGTCAGGTTTGAAAGGGGCCTTGGTGGCCTCTGCCCACCGCCTCCCCAGCCCCTACCTTTAGTCCCCAGCAGGCTGAGGCCTGAGGAGGGAAGTGGTGGGACCTGGCCCACCCTGTCTTTCCCACAGCCAGACCAGTCCAAGTACGACCCTGGGCTGGCGACCACTTGTCCAGAGCCTCACACATGGCGAGGGGCCCGCCCACCTGCAGGGTCTCTTTGTCAAACTCTTATGTTCCCTCAGGCCCCCCGATCAGCCCAAAGCAGACCTGTTGGAGGATCACGAAGCGGAGGTGAGTGAGGGTGACACAGCTGAGCCGGAGACAGTCCCTTCCCTGTTACTGTCCCCGCCCCTCTCACCGTGCTGAGCCGGGAGTCGGTGGGCAGGCTCTGGGCCGTAGCAAGGGCCAACCCAGGTGTCTTAGTCTGGGTAGACTAGAGAAACAAATTCATAGACACTCGTATGTGTATAAGAAAGACGTTTATATACAAGAGCAAGTGACTATTGAGAAAACATCCCAGCCTGGTGCAGATCAAGTCCATAAGCCTGATATTAGCCTAGATGTCCAATTCCAATCTATAAAGTCCTCTTCGGACTCACGAAACACATGCAGTGATGCTGAATGCAGGAGAATCACAGGCCTGGCTCCCAGCAGTAGAGTCTGGCTGGGGGGCTGTTGACAGCCTGGCCGCGTCCTGCCCTGGGAGAATCAGAACAGGACAGGACAGGAGAGCCAGAAAGGCTGAAGGTGGCCGAATTCTCCTGTCCAGGGAGGTCAACAACATCCCTCCAGTGTTCCGAGTTGCTCACAGGCAGATCTCGGAAAGTTATCAGGACAAAGGACCTTACGTACAATCTATCTTAAGAGATGAAGAGCGTGAGTTCCAGAGAGCCGAAGTGGCCTGCCCGTCGTCCACGGCGAGCCAGGGCAGAGCTGCGGCCAGCATCCCAGGGCTCTTTCCCCTCTGCCCTGCGTGGGGCCCGGGAAGAGGGAAGGGGAGAACCCGCAGCCCCTGCCTGCTAGTTCTTCTTTCCTTTCAGGCCGAGGAGCCAGAGGCCAGCAAATCCGAGGCAGAAGACGATGAGGATGAGGTGGACGACCTGCCGAGCTCCCACCGGACCTGGCGAGGCCCCATCTCTCGCAAAGCCAGCCAGACCAGCGTGTACTTGCAGGAGTGGGATATCCCCTTTGAGCAGGTGGAGCTGGGCGAGCCCATTGGGCAGGGCCGCTGGGGCCGGGTGCACCGTGGCCGCTGGCACGGCGAGGTGGCCATCCGCCTGCTGGAGATGGACGGCCACAACCAGGATCACCTGAAGCTGTTCAAGAAGGAGGTGATGAATTACCGGCAGACGCGGCACGAGAACGTGGTGCTCTTCATGGGGGCCTGCATGGACCCTCCCCACCTGGCCATCATCACCAGGTAACCCGGCCCAGCTCGGCCCAGCCAGCCTGGCCTCCAGTCCCTGGGGGCACGGCTATTTGGGTGGACACAGAAGGCTCATTAACAGCAACATAGAAGTCCTGTCTGTTAGGGTAGGCTGGGGGAGTGGTGGGTCAGATATAGAGCTGCTCGAGGTCAGCTGTTCAAACCTACCAGCCGCTCCAAGGGAGAACGATGAAGCTGTCTACTCCTGGCAAGAGTTACGGTCTCAGAAACCCAGAGGGGCAGTTCCGCCCTGTCTTCGTAGGGCCGCTGCGAGTCAGAGTCGACTCGATGGCAGTGGGATTTTGTGGAGAAAGGAAGCCCCAACCAGGAGACCATCAGCCAAACTTCCGGGCTTCATCCTGGCTCTGAGAGCCCTCAAGTCTCAAAGAGCCTTATCTCCTGGAGACCTTGCTTTAAAAGCAAAGCAAAACAAAACGAAAACCCCCTTTGTAGGATGGTTTACGCCAGCAGCTCCCTGGAAAAAGAGGATGAGCCGGGCATTCCCTCCCGGCCGTCCCCCCCTTGGTGTGACGATATGAGCCCTCTCCCAGTCATTGCTCCGATGCCTCCGACAGCCACCACCCCCCACTCCCTCCTCCCAGACACACTTTTCTGGTGATAAAAACCCAGGAATTAAAAGAATCACAACAGGTGCCCCAAGAGCCCCAGTGTTTTTTGGCTACAGCCCTAAGAAGCCAAAGCCCAGCGTGGTCTTGTGGCCACATTCCTGTGTCGACCCCACGGAGGTGGGACGCTCTGAATGGCCAGGGGCTCTTGTTGTCTCCGTGCTTTCTGTTTGTTCTGTGATTGTTGTCGGAAGTATACTCAGTAAACGTACCCCAGGGGGCTCTCCACGGACGGTCAGTGCTTATGGTCCTCTCTGAGCAGCCAGCCTTGCCCTCCGTGACTGAACTTCGTCCCCTAAGGTCCTCGCTGGCCTCGGAGTTGCTGTTGTCCATTGCTCCACGGTTACTTCTGTAAAGGAGCTTGACGTCCTACAGGCATTCTTTAAGCTAACCTGGTGTCCGGTTTAAGGCAGACTCGGGGGTGTTTATATTAGGCTTAAGGTTGAAAAATGGTCGAGAGGCTTTGTGTAGAAAGTTTGAATTCCACCAGAGGCTGGAATTCTGGTCCACGTTTTCCTCCCTTTTGATCAGGATTCTCTTTAGAATGAAACAAACACACACAAAAAAACCACGTTTTCTGCAGTGGCGAATACACACAGCAAAACATATGCCAGCTTGACAGTTCTCAGTGTACACTTTAGTGATGTTGATTTTTCTGTAGGGATTTTTTTTTGAAGCCTATACAGAATTTTATTTATTAACATTCTTTTTTAAAAAATATTTTTATTGGGGGCTCTTATGGCTCTTATAACATTCCGCACATCAATTGTATCAAGCATATTTGTACATATGTTGCCATCAACATTTCCAAAACATTTTCTACTTGAACCCTTGGTAGAAGTTCCTCTTTTTCCCTCTTACTCCCCCAACCTCATGAATCCTTGATCAATTATAGATTGTTGTTATGATTTCATATCTTACACTGTCCATTGTCTCTCTTCACCCACATTTCTGTTATTTGTCCACTTGGGGGGAAAGCTATATATCCAATTTTGTGATGGGTTCCCCCTTTTCCCCTTCCCCCACCCTGACTATCCCCCACCCTCATGATGTCACTACTCCCACTACTGTTCCTGAGGGGCTTATCTGTCCTGAATTCCATGTGTCGAGAGCTCTTATCTGTACCAGTGTGTGTGCTCCGGTCTAGCCAGATTGTAAGTGGTAAGTAGAGCATGGTAGTGAGGGGGAGGAAGCATTCAGGAACTAGAGGAGTGATGTGTGATTAGTCGGTGCTATACTGCACCGTGATTGAAACATCCCTTCCTTATAACCCTTTTGGGGGTGGGGGGGTGGGGGAAGATATCCATTTGTTTACCAGTGGGGTTTGGGTCTCCACTCCAACCTTAAGCCTTTAAGACCCCAGATGCGATATCTTTTGATAGCGGGTACTATCTGCTCTCTTCACATTTGCTTATGCACAGATTTTGTCTTTGGCGATCATGTTGGCAAGGTATCAGAGTGCCAGGTTATCAGCACAAAGTGTTCTGTTTAGGGAGGTCTTGAGTAGAGGCCCAAAGTCCATCTGCTATCTTAATACTTAACATATGAATATATGTACATTGGCCTCTATCCCTTTCATTAGAAATTAATATTTTTACATCTATACATGTCTATAGCTATACCTCTATAAATAGCTTTTGCCTCCTAGTTCTTTCTTCTATTTCAGCGGTTCTCATGCCGTGACCCTTTCATACAGTTCCTCATGTTGCGGTGACCCCCCAACCATAACATTATTTTTGTTGCTGCTTCATAACTGTAATTTTGCTACCGTTATGAATTGGGCAACCCTGTGAAAAGGTCGTTCGACCCCCAAAGGGGTTGTGACCCACAGGTTGAGAACCACTGCTCTATTTTCTTTCACCTTCCTCCTATCCCACAATCATGCTCACCCTCCATTTGGCCCTCTATTTCCTCTCGGGTACATTGCTCTTGATCAAGCCCCACCCGTCCTCCTCACCATCAATTTTAGATCTCCTGTTCCTTATCTCTGAGTTTGTGGGAGACACCGTGCGTGAAGTGTGCCCTGTCTGCCCCGTGCACAGCGGGTGAAACGCGAAGGGAGTGCGACAGTGCAGCGAGGGGGGCAGAGTGACCAGTCCCCAAGGGATCCTGAAAACAGACTTCTGACTCGGGGGCAGGGCTTGGCACCTCATCAGACTTGATTGGAAAACATACATCTGGGTCAGCAGACAGACCTGGAACTAGCTATTGGGTTTTTTGGTTTGTTTGTTTATGTTTTGTCTTTTGTTTGCTTTTCTTTTGCCCTATGTCTGTCTACATAAGATAGGCAACAATCCCCAGGAGAAAATAATGGGACCGGCAGTTCTGGGGGGACCAGGGCGAGGAGGGGGTGGGGAGGGGGAGTGGGGAGCCAACAAATTCTGTTGGGATTTTGGTGAGAAATCATCAGTAATGGTAGCTGGGCACTGTCTAAGTTCTTCTGGTGTCCTGGCACAGGAGCATGTTTTCCTGGAAGCAACGGGGCATATGCATTTCGCTTCCTTCTCCTCGGCCCCCACCCTCCCAACGCGCACTCTGCTGCTGCGGGCAGAGACCGCTTGGTACACCTCGAGTGGTCACTTGCAAGCTTTGAAGACCCCATTCGTGGGAGCTCTGACATGTTACGTCTGTCGCCCCACAGTGGGATGTGGGCACACGTGCCTTTAAGCACAGCCAGTCATTCAGAAGGAATGGGTGCCAGGCTTGATGTGGAATGAGAGCTCTGGGGCTCACAGTTGTAGGGGGACAGAGAGCAGCTGCTGGAGGCAGGTAGAGACAGTGCCCGCCATCTGGGCTCCTGGGGCCTCGCAGGGTAAGATTAGGCTGCCTGACCCAGCCCTGTACCTGAACCCTGCCCCTCTCAACAGCTTCTGCAAGGGGCGGACGCTGCACTCCTTTGTGAGGGACCCCAAGACGTCCCTGGACATCAACAAGACACGGCAGATCGCTCAGGAGATCATTAAGGTACCGGAGCTGGAGGTGGGGCTGGCTGTCCCACCGTCTGCCACCTCAGGGCCATTTGCGCCTCCCCTTTGAGCTGGGGCTTCTCAAGGGCAGCCTCGCTCCCCTTCTCTGCCCCAGTCTCCTCTGTAGAGCAGGGAGCACTTTGCAACCTAACCTGCTGGAGAGGGATTCAGCAGGGTGCTTGGGAGAGGAAGCCTTAAAGACAAGCAGTCCGAGTCTGAGTCCTGGCCGCACTCGCTGTGTGACTGTGGGCAGGCTGTGGACCCTCTCTGAGCCCTCCACTCCCCACTCCGAAAAATGGAGGTAGCAACGTCCCACCGGGCCGGTGCAAGGATACAAATGCCGATGATATGCCCAGAAAGTGACTGACTGTCGGGGGCTGGCACTTGCTAAGCACCTCTTAGAGACGGTGGGGTGGGGGCTGGCTGTTCTACTCAGGAGGTAGAAACATTTCTGCCTGGAAATTTCTGCATCAAAGCTTCATGACGACAGACCCTCAGGCTCAAATCAGGCAGTTTTCCTTTTTTTTACTTTGTTCTGTATTAAAAGAGAAATAAATGAGAGAGAAGCACCTTTGCTGCTTTATCTAATAGCAGACAGGCCTGAATACAAGCTAGAACTCCATTTCCTCTTTCTTTCTTTTTTTAAGCTGTTGAGAAGCTCAGTTCCCACCAAGGGTTTGGAGCCCTGGTGGTATAGTGGTTCCAGCCGGGCTGAGATCTGTGCGGTCAGCTTAAAACCGCCAGCCCCTTCCGGGGGAGAGACGCAGCTGTGAACAACTAGGCTTGTCAACCCACAGGGGCAGCTCCGCCCTGTCCTGTGGGGTCGCTATGAGTCGGCCTTGGCTGCTCGACGGCTGGGAGTTGGGCTGTTGGTTACCTGTCTTTCTCTCCCCCCTCTCCGTCCCGGTCCCCGTGCCCCCCGCCCCTTCCTCTGTGTATGGATTTCTTCAGCTGGAAAAAGATGGCAAGCACATCTTTCCATGTGGCTAAACCACCCCTCCCATGCATGCCTTCCCTGGTGGTCTGAGGGTGGAGCCAATGTCACCTGTCCTGCATTTTCCCCTGCTCCCTCAGTCTCCCCTCCCCAATCCTCCCCTGTCCCTGTGGGAAGCTCGTGGGGAGTTCTGTCTGGAGGTGGCCAGCTGGGCTCTGATGGCCCAGGCCGAACATTGCGGAAGCGTTTTGGAGCAGGGTGACCAAAGCGGCCCTTTGCTACTGTGTTTCCTGCTTGGGCCCCTGAGACGCCACTCACTCCCCCTTCTGTGGGTGCAGAACAAAATAACTGACGTTCGCTTGGGGGCAGCTCTCAAAAGGTGGTGAATGATGGGAAGGAAAGAGGATTTGTCTTCTAAGGGGTTTGGCATTGTGTCCCTTTCAGCTGGCCTCTCCAGGGTGGGGGACGGAGGCTCAGAGAGTTTCCCCCACCACTCCGTATGGATGGGAAAGTGGTGGGCCAGGGGGCCGGCCTCCTCTATGAGCCAACTCGTCAGCTGCTTGCCTAGCTCAGAAGCACATGTGAATTCACCCCTCTCCCCTTCCCGAGCCCCAGCTGACATGAGGCTTGTTGTCTTTCAGGGCATGGGGTACCTCCACGCCAAAGGCATCGTACACAAGGACCTCAAATCCAAGAACGTCTTCTATGACAATGGCAAAGTGGTCATCACCGACTTCGGACTCTTTGGGATCTCAGGCGTGGTGCGAGAGGAGCGGTGAGTCGCCTTGGGTGTCCAGGACAGGAGGACAGGTGGGACCTTCGGAGGGCTCTCGGAGCAGCAGCTGAGGGGCCGACCTATAGGAAAGGCCAGGCTTTCTTGAGACCTGCTCATCTGGGTCTGGCCCAGAGTCAGGTGAGGGTGAAGTTCGGGGTTCCTCATAGTATCTGAGCACCCCTGGGAGGCTGCTTCCCACCCGGCCAGCTTGTCCCAAGGACCAGAGGGCACTTCCTGTCATGGGGACAAGTGCTAAGATCTCTTTGCCCCAGATCTCAGAAGGGGCAGGGGTTGGGGGAGCAGAGAAAGGCTCCTCCCCAGATGTCTTGGAACCCCAGGCTGGAGTCTGCAAGCCAGGTCCCAGGCTGGGGGGAGACCCACAGGGGACCGGATTTCCTGGGTGGAGGAAACACACCCGCTTGCCCAGCCTAGAGAACCTGGCACCTTCCGGCACAGTGCCCTGCCAGCACCATTTGGCTGCTTTCCTAGAGGGAGCCTGGCTATCACCCCAATCCTGCAGTCCCTAAAAGCTGGCAGTTCCTTAGAGCATGCGGGCCCAGGGTGCTGGGTGCCAGGGGAATGCAAGGCGCTGTGCCTTTGCCCTGGCTTCTTGACACCCCCCCAGGCGTGAGAACCAGCTGAAGTTGTCACACGACTGGCTGTGCTACCTGGCCCCTGAGATCGTGCGGGAGATGATGCCCGGCAAGGATGAGGACAAGCTGCCGTTCTCCAAAGCCGCTGATGTCTACGCGTTTGGGTGAGGAGGCCCTGGCTGACCCCTCCTCCTGGGGCTATGAGGCCACGAGTAGCCGTCGGGGGCAGGAGGGATGTGCAGCGGGTGTTCAAAGCTCCCCTCGGGAATGGAACCAGCCCAGGCTTTGCTCCCTTGACCATGCCCTTGACCTTTTGTTTCCCCACCTGCCACATGGGAGAGGAATCGCCCCTCCCCCCCAGGGTTGTTCCTGGGGACTAAATGAGGCCATCGCTGACCATGCTCCACTCTGGCGGTCAGGCTCACTAGCACCCTGAGGACAGTCCCCCCAGGCCTAACCGGGGGCTGCCCTCCTGGGCTGTAGGGTTCGGCCATCGGGCAGCTTGTCCACAGTGCTCAGCCTCCCACTCTGGACGGCCAGCAGCCCCTCGGGTTCCCTGAGCTCCGCGCCCGCAGGCGGGGCTGGCAGTGCCCCCAGGTTGCGGTCCCTCCAACCCGCGGCTTCCTGGCAGTCCCGCCATGGCTGCTGAAGGGAACCGGGCACAGAGCGGAGTGTTGACAATTTGCGTAACTCAGCAGGGTCCCTGGCATGGGACAAGGCCCTGTCCAAACCCTGCAAGGGAAGACTCACTTGGGGTGCAGAAGTGAGCCCCTTCAGGAACCCAACATGGGAGACGATGGGGTCATTGGCAGCACCATGGAGAGCCACACATTCAAAGCGCCCAGGGCTGCCTGCCGCCATCTCCGAGCAGGGCAGTGCTGTGTGGAAGCCCTGCTCATGCTGCGATGTGGATTAGCCTTCACCCTGAACCCTTTGAACCCACCCCTCACACAGCAAATGCTTCCTCGCAGTCACCTCCATGCGTGTGGCTTTTACAGCATCACAAAGGCTGCCCGCCTCGCCTGGAACTAAAATCCCAAATCAGATGGGGTTGATTCCGACCCACAGGCTGCCCCACAGGGCTTCCCAGACTTCCCATCTTCACAGGAGCAGCTGGTGGGCTTGCACCACCGACCGGGTGCTGGCAGCCCAGACATACGGGTAAATGAGAACTGTAGCCACCCCTTCTGACTTTACAGTCTCGACGACACCATTGGGAAAGCGTCTCGTGCCTCCCTCGGGGGACTACTTATCTTTTGAAATTTTCCAGTGACCACGTTAAAAAAAGAAGAGACAGGTGACCGCGATCAAGTTTCGTATCTCTAGCTCAGTATCTGTCCCGATATGAACAATTACCGCAATCGTCTGCGCTACGGTCTTCTCCCCTGCAAGGTCTCCCGTGTGCCGGCCTGTGGTTAGCACCTACAGAGCGTCCCGGGGCAGCCTCTCAGCATTGCAGGTGCTCCGTCCCTCCTGTGGCAACTGTGTGCAGGCCTGGCCCTGACCCCAACCCCAGGCCCAGAAGAGGAAAAGGCCGAGGGGTCTAGAGAGCTGAGTAAAGGCCCCTCCAGCCCGGCTGCCTGTCATGTTCCTGGGAATCCTTCCCACAGGCTGGGCGGGGTCCCCATCCCTTCTTCCCTGACCCTTCACTGAACCATTTCTGAAGACCCAACAAGGGCCAGGCACCAGATGGGACATTTTCGTTGCTCCCTAACCCACCGTGTGAAGCAAGCAGCGGCCCTGCTGAGTGGGGGTCCATGGTTGCATGATAGAAAGTGACAGCAGGATTGGGCTGCACACCCACCAGCCCCTCCGGCCCTGTTAGGTGCCTGCCCTTCTACCACCGTGGGGTCCCCTTTGACCCGGGTGGTTGCCTCCGGGGTGAGGAGAGATGGCAAAAGGCCTGTGGGTCCTGTGGCACTGCAAGAGCCAGCCTCTGGCTGAAGAGCCCTGGAACAGTGGTTCTCAGCCTTCCCCGTGCCGCGACCCTGCCAGACAGTTCCTCACGTGGCGGTGACCCCCCAACTATAAGCTTGTTTTCGTGGCTCCTTCATCACTGTCATTTTGCTACTGTGATGAATCGGGCCACCCCTGTGAAAGGGCCGTTCGACCCCCCCAGGTTGAGAACCGCTGTCCTGGAGGGTGATCTGGGGCCTCCCCGGAGCTCAGGTTGTGTGGATTGGTCTCCGCAGGACTATCTGGTATGAGCTACAAGCAAGAGACTGGCCCTTTAAGAAGCAAGCAGCAGAGGCCATGATCTGGCAGGTCGGAAGTGGGGAAGGCATGAAGCGGGTCCTGGCCTCAGTCAGCCTGGGGAAGGAAGTCAGCGTGAGTAGCACCCGCTCCCTGGGCAGGCAGCGGACCTAGAGGGTGGGCTTGGGGTGTACTGCGTGGCTGCCCACCCACCTGACAAACGGAATCCCTGGGGGAACTCTGCCACCCCTGGGCGAGTCTACCTTAAAGATGAAAACACACACCTTTGTGGGAAAACACAGGCGGCAGAAGAAGCAGCAGAGCCGTTCATTAATAGCCCACTGTTGATCTTTTCCTGTCTGGTCCCTTCCACTCTCTTCAAGGCTTTCATTTCCTTCTGAGTTGCAGAGGGAGTGGAGCCCTGCGTGCGACTGAAGATGTCATCACTGCACGGGGTACTTGGGGCGGGGTCATGCTGACCCATCAACACCTTCCCCAGATGCTCTTCTTAACTGCGGAAGGCACTGCGTGGCTGGGGGTACATCTGTTCCCCAGCTCCTGAAGGGCAACTGTGGGAAACGTTGTCGAAATCCCAGACACCATACTGATCCCTCCTGGTAGTTAACTGTCTGAACAGTTGGTATACCCCTGACCTGGGCCGTACCCCAAGGGTCTCGGGAGAGAGAAATGGGGTGACTGCCTTAGCCCATATGAGTTTACCAATCCGGGCCATCACGGGAGTTTAACCGGAGAATGCTGGAGAAATGCCATCTGTGCTCACTTTGGTGAGCGAGAGGCCCTTATTATTTGATTTTGCAAAATCGGGTGCTGAGACTCAAGACAAAATGGGCAAAAGTGGGGAGGGACCCTTCACAGCTCCCCCGAAAGCATTTTATCCCTGAGTTTGCAAAATTCCCCCCTCCGGTTCCTCATTGGGGGAGTGCTATGTGTGTAACCGTCTTTTCCTGAGTGTCCCCTAGGAGTCCCCCCCACTTCTCAGGAGATTCCCTCCCCCTCTCCCCCTTCCATAATTCATCCAGTTCCCACAGTCCATGCCCCAGGTGCCCAAACTCTAGAGACTGTCCTAGCGGCTCAACTGGTGCCCTGGTTACTGAGTAACTCCTTGACTCTTGGCTCTCTGCCTGCTGAAGATGGGCCAGCCTGGGGACTGACTTCTCACGACACGATTGCGGGCCTCCCCTTCCTGTCCACCCTCAGTGGTCTCTCTGGCTGGCGGCCTGCAGGTCTCCTTGTCACCGCACAGCCCACAGGGAAAGAAGTGTGGAGGGCCCGCACATTCCGTGAATCAGCTCCCGACTCACAGCGACTCTGGAGAACAGGGTAGACGGGCCCTGTGGGGTGCTGAGACTGTACCCCTTGACAGAAATAGAAAGCCTCATCTTTCTCCCACAGAGCAGCTGGTGGTTTTGAACAGCTGACCTTGCGGTTTGTAGCCCAGCGGGTAACCACAGGATTGGCTAGGATGAGGGAAATAGGTTAACAGGTCACTCGATGTTAGTACGTAGTCTCAGTACACGCCTGGGTGACTCAGCAGTGGACGTGCTCAGAGGGCCCATGGGATACTTCTCCGGGTCCTGCGTGGCTTATTAAAAGCCTGAGCCATGTTGATCGGATCGCTTACTGTAGACCCGGGCAGGCACAGTGGCGATGGCAGCCCCATCGTCCTCAAAGAGCTTAATGGTGTCCTCCTTTAGCTGGTAGGCAGCAGCTGGGCATCCACAGAAGGCTCATTTAAGATGACATCATCTTTGGCGAACTCACTCCACCGTGGTACTTGCCATCTGGTTGAAGTGCTCAGTGCCGGGCAGGTGCTGCCTCTCCCAGAGGGACTGTGGCAGGCTCTCCATCAGCCAGCCAGCTGCACTTGCTCTCGGGCCCTGCAGACCCCAGCGAGGATGCCGGGCGGTGTCACAGACCTGTGGGGTGAGCACCTACCTCCTCGGTGCTCTTGGCTCACCCTCCTTGGCCGTCTCCTGAGCCAGAGCCAAGGGAAACGCCGTCTTCACCTGGCATGGCTTTGGCAGATAGTGACAGGCCCAAGGCATGCGCCGTGACCTTCTGAGCCAGCCTCGTGGGCAGTTGGGAAAGCAGCCAAAGAGGTGCCCATCTCTTTTACGTCTACAAACACATCTTTTAAACAAGAGGTCTATGCCATCTAGCTGGCGGACGGCCTCTCCCGGTGCGATGCTGGGATCTCGTCATGCACAATGCTGTCATTGACTCCGTCCGGTCCTGGGGCAGCCGGGTGATGTCCAGCATTTACCTTGAGCAGCCGGGTTATTTAGATCATCTTCCTGTGGATGTTTGCTTTCTCTGAAAGGGAAACACATCCTCTGTAAACTGCTCTGCTGGCAGCCCTTCAGGTTACCTTGCGGGTGCTCTCAGGCTGGGGCAGCAGGGGGAGCTGAGCGCGGGGGCGGGGGCGGGGGCCTTCAGGGGCACGAAGGCCTGGCACCGAGGCCAGAGCATGAGAAGGGAGCTAGGCTCCGCTCTGGCTACACTTCTGGGAGCCTTTTGCTTCCTGGCGCCCCAGAGGTGCCGATTTAATTGGCCTGGGATACAACCGAGGCCATCGTTAGTGTTTTTAATTTTTAAATAAAGCTCCTTGGCTAATTTCATTGTGCAGTTAGAGCTCTGGGCTAACGGGTTAGAGATCTGGGAGGGTTTCCGATAGCACGCGGTCCAACCTTGGGAAGCCTTTATGAAGAAGAAGTGGGGAGTTGGGCAGGGAGCCAGAGGCAGGGTCCCAGCACCCCGCTCTGGTTCAGGAGAGCTGTCTTTTTAACTTATTGTTGCCGGGAGGGAAGGCTCGTTGGCCAGTGATAAGAGAACGGTATGGATTCTAGTCCAAAGCAGTATGGATTCTATCACCCACTATAGAGTACAAATATCTGTCCAGGTGCATCCCGGATGGCAGTTGCCGCCCAGTGGACACTCCTGCTTTGGATGATGATTCATAATAGGTTTTTCTTATCACTGGCCAGGGAGCCTCCCTGCTCCCCAATAGCAACAGGTTGAAAAGAAAAGCTGGCTCTCAGGAGCCCGCAGTGGGCTGCTGTGACGTTTACTTGCTCTCCTCTGCCCCAATGGCCTACTGATTCTGAAAGAGCTTCGCAAGCAGGCCCATACCATGTACTATAGGAAATCCTTCCAGATCGGTAGCTTGGAGCTCTGTCTACACAACGGAATTAGCCAAGAAGCTTTATGTAAAAATTAACGATGGCCTTGGTTATATCCCAGGCCAATGAAACTGGCACCCCCGGAATGAGGCCCTCAGAACCGGCATTTTTAAAAAAAATCATTTTATCGGGGGCTTGTACAATTCTTATCACAATCCATACCTCCATCCATTGTGTCAAGCACATTTGTACATTTGTTGCCATCATCATTCTCAAAACATTTGCTTTCTACTTGAGCCCTTAATATCGGCTCCTCATTTTCCCCCTCCCTCCTCACTCCCCCCCCATGAACCTTTCATAATTCATAAACTATTTTGTCATATGTTATACTGTCCGACGTCTCCCCTCGCCCACTTCTCTGTTGTCCATCCCCCAGGGAGGAGGTTATACGTAGATTCTTGTAATCAGTTCCCTCTTTCCACCCCACTTTCCCTCCACCCTCCAGGCATCGCCACTCTCACCACTGGTCCTGAAGGGATCATCTGTCCTGGATTCCCTGTGTTTCCAGTTCCTATTTATACCAGTGTACATCCTCTGGTCTAGCCAGATTTGTAAGGTAGAATTGGGATCATGATGGTGTGGGGGAGGAAACATTTAAGAACTAGAGGAAAGTTATATGTTTCATCGTTGCTACCCTGCATCCTGACTGACTCATCTCCTCCCCACAACCCTTCAGTAAGGGGGTGTCCAGTTGCCTACAGATGAGCTTTGAGTCTCCACTCTGCACTCACCTCATTTACAATCATTTACAATGATTTGATTTTTTGTTCTTTGATGCTTGATACCTGATCCCTTCGATAGCTCATGGTCACACATGCTGGTGTGCTTCATCCATGTGGGCTTTGTTGCTTCTCAGCTAGATGGCCGCTTGTTTATCTTCAAGCCTTTGAGACCCCAGCTGCTATATCTTTTGATAGCCAGGCACCATTAGCTCTCTTCACCACATATGCTTATGCACACGTTTGTCTTCAGTGATCATATTGGAAAGGTGGGCACCCACTGATATGACTTTTTGTTCTTTGATGTCTTATAACTTGTCCCTTTGACACCTCGTGGTCACACAGGCTGGTGTGCTTCTTCCATGTGGGCTTTGATGCTTCTCAGCTAGATGGCCGCTTGTTTATCTGCAAGCCTTTAAAACCCCAGATGCTATATCTTTTGATAGCTCGGCACCATCAGCTTTTTCACCACATTTGCTTATGTACATATTTGTCTTCAGCGATCGTGTAGGGAAGGTGTGCATCATGGAATGCCAATTTAATGGAACAACGTGTTCTTGCATTGAGTAAGTACTTGAGTGGAGGCCCAATGTCCATCTGCTGCCTTAATACTAAACCTATAAATATATGCATGTAGATCTATTTCCTCACCATCCTATATAAATATATTTACATATGTACGTGCCTGCATTTAGACCTCTATAAATACCTTTTGTCACCTAGTTCTTTCCTCTCATTCCTTTTACTTTCCTCTTGTTCCACTATCATGTTCAACCTTCATTTGGGTTTCAGTGATTTCTTTTGGTTACATTGCCCTTGCTGAATCCCTACCAGGCCTCTCAAACCCTCCTTGCCACTGATTTTTGGGTCACTTGTTGCTCCCCTGTCCCCTGGGTTGGTCAACACCACCTCCTTAACCCCGCCTCCCCCTCTCCCATGTTCCCCCAGAACCGTTGGTCCCGTTGTTTTCTCCTCCAGACTGTTCATCCAGTCTATCATATCTAGATGGATCTGTAGAGATAATAATATGCACCCAAAACCGACATCTTAAAAATAATCCCAGAAGATTCCAGTGTATACACGAGAGTAAGTCAGAAATTAATGCTACAAGGGTTCCAGTTTATTCACGCACAAAATGCGTTTCAAGGTGACTGCGTTTCAAGGTTGGCTGCAGACAAGTCTCTCAGTATTCTTGTCCTTGGCTCCTGAAGGTGCC